CTTCCTCTCTTCTCCGGCTGAGGCTTGACATGGCTGTCGGGTTTAGGGTGAGTATCAGAGTGCTTATTATCTGGGGGTAGAACTTGCTGTAGGAATCTATGAATCATCTCATAACTGGTGAATGTAATGACAGCCGATGGTGTTGTTCTCAACAGATTAGTTACACAGCCGCGGTAGAAGCCGGGAATACCTTCCTTCTGGAAAACCTTCTTTACACAATCTATAACCCCTGCATAATGGTCATAAGGGACTTTTGAGCTTGACTTCCGGGCCTGCCCTTGCTCTTGAAGCCTAGATCGCACAACCTGGTGGCATACAATTCAGACAATAAGATAATTGGTAAGGTAAATCCATGTCCTTCATCATGGTTTAGTCTTAAAGACCAAGTGCGCCCAAAACATACCTCATGTGGGTAAGTCATTACTGAGGCAATCACTTTGGATACCGAAGAGGCAATTGCAACACTAGAAGGACTGAGCTTATCAACAGTTGTATTCTCTGAGAATTTAGAAATGATACCATCAGATCTGTAGTTACTGAGGATTCAGAAAATCTCAAGTCTAGAATCTGGAAAGTACACAGATAACAGCAATCCTCTATTACCCTTTTTGGCAATGTAAGACTTGATCTTTTCATATGCTGGGAATTGAATTGCAACATGACTTATACCAGCCAGTGACGGCAAAATTCCACTGTTTCAAACCACAAAAATGCATTATGACCATAATGGTAAAAGAAATTACTTTCTTTTCAGTAGAAACCATGGCCACAGTAACTGCAAACTGTACCAAACAGAGTAGAACAGAGCCACTAACCTATACAACCCTCGTATGCCTTCTTCTCGTGTGATCCTTCCCAAAGCAGAAAGTACACTTCTGTACGGAACCACATCTGCCCTCATCCCCTGTGTCTGAATGATGATGAAAAAAAATGAAAATGCAGGCGAAAAGTAAATGGAACAGCCCAAGTAACTAAACCGTAACAGCTAACAAACAGCAAGCTAAAATTAAAATACCCCTAGGTTTAAGAAAAAGCAGCAAAAATAACTTAACATTGCACATCTTTAGTGGTGACTGCTAACCTGCTACATTAAATTAACATTCAGGTTAAACTTATTCCAGATTAGCTACTTATTCCAGTTTCAAAGTGCAAATGTCAGTGACACACTAGGGAAGTGAGCTAGACTAGGCCTCACTAAAAGGTGAAATTTCAAAACGACAGGAAGTTCTGAAACCATTTGAGAACAATTAATTTCTCTTATTTATTGCCAGAAGGCTTACATTTATGGTTCAAAAAATATGCCAGCTTGACCCATGCATCTGTCAAAGCATTGACAAGGAGGTTGATCCCCTGAACACCACACCATTTTCCAGTCATAAACCTTGTTTAAGAGTACTTCAGCAAGAGTGCATCATAAAGAAGCATAGCCTGTTGCAACAAGAGATTGTACTCCAATAACTAAAACTAAGAACAGCTACTGAACTCTTAATTATACAAGTGATCTGTCTATTGACACCAAATTCATATAGCTGGGCCATAAGTATATTTTAGAAGCTAGTCATCATGACTTAAGCAAAGAGCAAGGCAGATATCATACAACCACTAAGGTATTGGCTCTACAATCTACATATTTATGGAAAACGGAATAACTAAAATGAGGACAACAAGCTTACTTGAAGTCTGGTCTTTACAACCCATAATGGGTTTGTTGTAATGGCAGTTGCAGCACCCGCACCAGCAGCAGCTACCATGTTGGCTCCAATTGTAAGCTGCCCAGAGCTGTCCCCTAAAATATGTCAACGAGAAATTGTAAATAAAGATCTATACAAG